TGTTGTCTGTACATTTTTCTTGTCTTGTAGTGTTTTCTTGAGCTATTAAGAGACTGATTTCTAGAATATTAACCCAAACACCAGACATATTTCAAATTCTCCATATTTCCACTGGCTGAAGTCCCATATGTCCTAGTTGTATATACAGAAACAGGCTACAGAGCCAGGAGTGACATTCTGGTGTGAAAATGATCCGCTCTGATGGCCGCTTAGGATACAGAGTCTGAGTTCACAGCTTTCGGTAGTCTTAGTCACACAAACCTCTTTATTTCTTATGGTTTGTGTCTGAGGTGTAACCCACAGTCTCATGGTTTGAACACCTCCAGGGTCTCTCGACCTACCTCTTAACTCAACTTGCTTTGGAGGACCAACCACTTCTTCTGTCTTTCTCCGGCTCTGGCTTACCTCTATCAGTCTCTCCTTATTCTACCAGCTTCGTTATTAATCACTTCTCCAGATCAGTCCCTGTCAGCTAAAGTAGGCAGGCACCAGAGTGGGTGGGGCAAGCCAGCATCAGACAAGTCTCTACTTACATCTTCACACCCTGAGGATGCTGTGCAGCCTGTCTGAAGAATGGCTGTCTGTACCGTAAGACCGCTATAGCAATGCCTGTCTCATGGATGAGAGTTATAGGACATGTGTGTGTGTGTGTGTGTGTGTGTGTGTGTGTGTCTGTGTGCGCACGCGTGCGTGCTCTCTCTCTCTCTCTCTCTCACACACACACACACACACACACACATATATCCTTTCTCTGTTAAAACAGAAACAGTCGTGTTTGCCAAAGTTTTGCTTGAATTAATTTTCTCATGTCTACTGGGGGCTTTATTTTTGCATACTTCTTGATAGTTTTTCATTATCATCATTTCCTGAAAGTCAATGCTGAAGTGTTCTCAAGACATTAAGTTCGGCCAGGTATGACGGTGCACATTTGTCATCTCAGCACTTCTTTGGAAGGCAGAAGCAAGAAGATTATCCTAAGTACATGATCAGCCAGGTCCACACAATGAATTGCAGGCCAGCAAGTGCTACTTTGTGAGACCATGTCTCAAAAATAAAAAGGTCTATGTTCATTTCTAGCCGTGTCATTGTGCTTCTTACATAGCATACTTAAATAAACATAAGTAGCATCTCTTGCACTGATTTTTATATTTAACTGATTAATATGGTTAAATATAAAGTATTCCTAATTACTTGAATTGCATTAAAATAACTATCTGAGTTATATTTTTTTATAGTTTAATGTATTTTAATAGCAAACTTACAGGAACAGCACAGAAGACAGACAACATTAAAACATGTACTTGCATGTAGGACAACTCAGAAAAGTATAGTGAATGGATGGAATCTACTGTATGATAAAAATGCTACAAACACTATTTAGTTTCTGTCAATAAGAAATTTACTTATTTGTAAAAAATCCAAATGCTGGCATTGTCCAGAAAGTTTTAACAGGTTTATTTTATAATTGTTATAAAGTTGAACTATTGAAATGTGTTCACTGAAACATTTTGTTTGCATTAATGCTTTACATCTTGCATTTATATTAAAAATTCACAAATGAAAATGGAAAAACTGCCAATACCTGATTTCTGTCCCCTATTTTTCCACTCACAATCATATACTTAGGTACCTTTTGACCCCATGGAAAAAATATCTAACATTCAGAACTACTGATAACAGGAAGAGGAAAAAAATTTTTGAGAATGAAATGTTTCCCCTCATAGTGGACTCTTAAGCACGTTCTCCGCGTATGCGACGTGCTAGCTGAATATCTTTTGGCATAATTGTTACACGTTTGGCGTGGATAGCACACAAGTTGGTATCTTCAAAAAGGCCAACCAGATAGGCCTCACTTGCCTCCTGCAAAGCACCAATAGCTGCACTCTGGAAGCGCAGATCTGTTTTGAAGTCCTGAGCAATTTCTTGAACCAGACACTGGAAGGGGAGCTTGCGAATCAGAAGTTCAGTGGATTTCTGATAGCATCTGATTTCACCGAGTGCCACAGTACCAGGCCTGTAACGAGGAGGTTTTTTCACCCCTCCAGTAGGGGGCGCACTCTTGCGAGCAGCTTTTGTAGCCAGTTGTTTCCAGGGTGCTTTTCCA